TCTCTAAAGATTGAGTTTTCAGAACATTATCTGTTCATAATTTCAGAAAGTGTCGGGGTGAATGTTTAATGTTTGTTTGTTCTTTTTTTCTGTTTTAAGTCGTGAACATTGACTATGAACTGGCTACAGGTATGTTCAATAACACTATCATATATATTATTGAAGACATTTTATGGCATGCAATACAAAATATTCTTTACAATCTGAAATGCTTGCATCTTAGTGACAGATTTCTTTATGATCATGATGATCAATTCTGAAGCCATTGCAGTATTGTTTATAATTTAATTACACTCATTTGTAGAATTTATATTTTTACAACAAAAAATATCAAGCTAACTTCAGTCAGAAAGTATAAAAAAAAACGTTCTTTAGGGGAAAATATCAAAATTAAAGTGACATCATGCTCGGTAAGAATAGCTGAATATATCTGACTATTTATTTAAACGATTAACAATTATTATGCAGATTGACCAATATTTGTAAAAAATAATTGGGATAAAGTATAAATCTGCCTCAAAAATAAAAAGACTGCCCACGCTTTTCATGAGTTTTACATAATATGTAAATTCCGATGGATATCTATAGAAAATTCTTTACAGTATGTGAGTTATACTTTTCATGCGAAGTAAATTATAGAATAGATGAGAATTAAGTCAAATGTAATTTTTGAATGACTTTCACCTTTTCATTCACTATATACCCTTGGATGGGCATAATCTCACTTTATTTAAGAGGAGAATAATCTCACTTGTCATAGAATTAATGCTTTATTTCTGATAACTAGGATTTAATAGATAAATAAAAATAATATATGTAATAGAGGTAAACAGAATCCCTAAAGAAAGCCCAACACCGCAAAATTGAAAATATGCAGGCTCGATTTGATTGAGCCTGTTCATGGACGGTACTGGAAAGTGCAAGTTACCGTCCACGCCCCAAGTTAAACCTTTTAATTCCTGACATTCACATTAAAATAGTTGCTGCGTTTGTCTGTATTAAATTTCAGTTCTCCCTTGCCTTAAGGAGAATAACATTTTCAAAGACAAAAATATTATAAGATGATTATGTTAACACCCATAAATCGGTTGCGAGTAGAATAGCTCATTACGGTAAAATGAGCTGTGCGCTATTTTTGACAGGATTCACCTTCAGTAAGTTTTTCGTTATTCATGCAATCGATTGCTGCATAAAAGTATCTCTTTAAATAATGGCATCAAAGAATGTACCTTGTGCATCCAGTTTGAAACAAGCATACGTTGTGGCGCGTTCAATGTTTAGTTTTGGGGTTTGGGAAAAACACAATTGCAATGAAGCTATTTCACACGGAACAAAATGTTTCCTCCTAGCTTGCCAATGCCGCAACCATTTTGTTCAATCTTACCAAATATGAATATTTATAGCTCTAAGAACATTGTATTTTATTGGTAAGTATGTTGGCACAACTAAGACAAACATTATATTTTACACAATTGATGTGTTAATGTAATAAATCGCATTTAATACGTTTTTGTGTTATTTTCCATAAAAGTATATATTCAAATCAGCACGATATACAAGAGGAACGTCATCACAAGATACTTCCTTATTTCATGTCACTTTTTCAATACATAACTTTTTTTGATATCTTTAGCAACCGACTGTTGCAAGAATAACAAATATGGAACGCCTGGACTGTCGTATGTGTAGAATAACTCATATCGTTCTATTGAGTTTGAGAAACAATATGCTCCGTCGAAATCCCAATATGCTGGGTTGAAATTCCAATGTGCTCAGTTATTGAAGTGATTTGTTGTGTGCTTATTACATTTTCTTCAGCCAAGTCTATGTATTGTCGGGTTCATAAGTCGTTATGTTCAGTTCTCAAAACAAACAGGCATGTGGTAACACAATTATGTTGAGTTAAAAAGATGTGTTGTAGTGTGTAAGACTTATAATTCGGTTATAATCATGCTTATCTTTATGTTTAACCATAAAAATTTACAGTTGAGTGGTATAACATGTATCATTTTGTTTGGCTACGACAGTGTATTTTTTGGTGATAATTTCATAATTTTCAGTTGCAATGACATGCTGTCTGGTGCTTTATTCATTTTGTTTAGTCGTGATAAAGGACTGTTGAATGGTACTATCATTATGTTCAGTTAAGATGATATACTGTTCGGTGCAGAGGTCATTATGTTCAGTGGTGAACATAAACTGTTGTGTGATACCGTTGACTCATTATTTCACTACTGAACATAACGACCTCTGTACCGAACAGTATATCATCTTAACTGAACATAATGATAGTACCATTCAACAGTCCTAATAATCTTAACTGAACATAATAAAAGCAACAAGAAACTGTTTTACAGTTCTTTTTCATAACTGAATATAATGACCTTTGTACCGAACGATACGAAGGATTGACTTGACTGAAGACGATATAATCAGCACACAAGAAAATGATGGTACAATTTAACAATATTATTTCACAACTGAACATAATGAATAAAGCACCCAACAGCATGTCATTGCACTTGAAAATAATGAAGGTATCACCCAAAAATACACTGCCTCAACCAAACAAAATGATAAACTACTCAACTGTTTATGTTCATGTTTGAACATAAACAGAAGCGCACCAAATAGCATATTATTATAACCAAACATAATAACTGTAACACCTTACAACATATCTTTTAACTTAATATAATTGTGTTACCACATGCCTGTTTGTTTTAAGAACTGAACATAACGACTAATGCACCCGACAATACATTGTCTTGACTGAATAAAATACAGTCAGCACACAACATAACACTTCAATAACTGAGCACATTAAGATTTCCACCCAGCATATTGGGATTGCCACCAAGCACATTGTATCTCGGAGTCAACAGAATGACCTTTAACCAGGTATATCAGTCATTCTACATTTAAGGCAGTCCAGGCGTTCCATACAAAAACTTACGTTAGTGCAAATCTTGTCAACAAATAACGCATGTAATGAGCTGTTTTACACGCAACCGGTTTACAGTCGTGATATGATGTGTTATTTATAAATGTATTGCTAATCTTTCCTGTTTGTGCGAATTTCAGAATTGATTCTTAACCATACTGAACAAAACCTGCGTAAAGGTAGGATTTAGCATATTGTCTTGAACATCTATACCACACATGTTTGCACGGTTGAAAATGTAAAAGAGTAATAGTGCATATTTGCATTTTACACCTGATAACCTCACATAACACCCGAGGCGAAACTAGGAGTGCTTTTTCAGTTCAAGGGTTGCTTATATGCACTATTGCCCTGATCGTCGTGTTATTTTTTATTATACCGAACAAATATTTTAATGTAATTTTTCATCGCTATGCATATTTACATCGAAAGCCATTCATTAGATATTGATATTGTCTGGGGAGAGAACTAGAATATTACGTTTTCTCAAGTCTATATAGATAAACACCCCTGGGGAATATTGAAAAAAAATGACGGGTTATACAATAGATCGAAATAACACATTGTGGCGTCACATTAGGCTAAAAAAAGTGCTGGAATGCAGCCATTAAATTAACATTTTAAGATATTGTAGACAAATTTATATATTGAAAATGTAAAAACACATATACATGCACTTTTTGATAGAAAGGTGTATAGTTCTTATTTGTAATCGATCATTTTGGGTTAAATCCCTGACATGAACTAAATGCGTTGTCATATTATACGAGTTATTATTTCATTTCAGACTCATACGGATATTATCTGGACTGTCAGCAATTACTGGAAGTTGTAATAATTGAGCTGGATACTTCAAGTTTAGTAAGTATGATTATGCAAATTCTCATCCTTGGTAACCCAGGCTATTTACCGTAAACCATAACATTGAATGTGGTAAATATTGGACACGTACCGTGGGTTCCGACGATGACAAGTACTAAACATTTTTTTCTACCCTGCTATGGCCAAGCATGCAACGTTTTATGAGATACCCGTCTGAACATCTGAGCAGTCTGACCAGGCCTGTACTGTTTGAATCGAATTAATCATTTTTGGAGTGGCGGTGTGGTCTAGTAAATAACGCGTCGGACAAGTAATCGAAACATCAAAGCCCGCATGTGTTCTAGCCCCGTTAGTGGTAAGAGCAGCATGCTTTACATCCATTGATTAGTACTGGTTGATTCTAGGAATGGAATAGACAGTGTTTCAATAAGCTTTTACCTTTTAACACAATCGATCTAACATAAATTTGAATAAACTAAATCATATTGCATTAATTGACCTTCAAAACATTTGAAGAACCTGAAGTTGAAGGTTATATATATCATTATAAACTTTGCTTGTTTTAAATGATTTCACCTTATTCATGGAGAGTGGGACAGCTTCATCATGCATTGCTTAAATAATCGCATTTTACTTTCAATACATCATAAAGCAAATTTTACAATGGCAACAAATAATTTAATTTGAAAGGATGGATTACAGCAGGTTATCAACTTTTTCTGACATAAATATGTCATTCAGTGTGTTATAACCTATTTGTTAACTTTTAAAAAACTAGCGTGTATATATATATTTTGCAAAAAAAGTCTGCGCCTGCTAAACTCATTAGACTTTTATTACTTTATTGAAGAAACGGGTTAACTCCTAGTAATTTTAGAAAGACTTAACTCATTACTGTACTAATTTGACGATATCTCTATAACCCAATACATATACATCTTGTTCCGAGCTGCATGCGGCTATTTAGAAGCTAGCGTTTAATAGCCGCAAAAAACGAAAACATATTTGAAGAATGGTGGTATTGTATACAAAAGTTGTACCTTAAATATTAATTTAATCAATAACATAATTTAAGGATTTTGCTATCGAACATTCACAATCTTTTCTTGTAGCAAGCTACTATTGTCGAGTGTTATGTCAGTGATGTACCACGAGCGACCTCATTGGGGATGTCTAGCTGTAACATTGATAGCGTCACAAAAACCCGTATTCCTGGCAAAATATACCTCAGGTAATAATAACAATAATAATAATTATAACGCCAAAACTGAAATAAGAAAAGGAATCCTTTTAATAATTTGTATGAAATATACTTTTCAGAACAAGATCTTTATGAGCGATTGAACGTAAATTATGTAATTCATTGTGAGAGGAAGCTAAAGATTACACTCATATATAACGGTGTCACGTTGTTAAAGGATTTACACACCATAATTGCTGTGTGGTATTTCACTCTGAAATTGAATTTCAGCCTTAATGTTAATAAAAAAGATCAAATGTTGGTGAACGTATCGGTCTATTTAGTATAATTTGTCCAGTTCTTTTTTGAATTGAGTTTACTTTCTTGATGTATGAGTATGTGTCCTTTCCCCACACCGTATAACAATTATCAAGCACAGGAAGGTTGTAAGCGTTGTAATATATCGTTTTTACTTCATCAGTAAGGTTAAAAATGATATGTTTGAAGATAGCATTTTTTTTTGTATTTACTTTTTTTGCAAACAAAGTCTATTTGATAATGCTAGTTTTATGTATTATCTACATAAATGCCCAATAACTTTTGAACTGTAGCATTTTCAAGAGTTGTATCTTTTACTTTCAGAAGGAGTTTATTACATTTCTTCACCTTTTTTGAAGAAACAATTATCATGCATTTTGTTTTAATTGGGTGCAAAGACATATTCTTAAGGATACACCAATCATTTATATAATTTAAATCTTTTTGTAAATTAGCTTGTATTTCAAGTAAACAGTCACCGGATTGGTAAAGTGTAGAGTCATCCGCATACAAGTCTGTATTAAGATCATTTCGGAGTATAGCTATATCATTTATATAAATCAAAAAAGTAAGGGCCCAAGAATGGATCCTTGGGGAACTACTTGTTTTACCAGTAAAATGTCAGATTTTTAAAAATCTACTTGAACTGTCTGTTTTCTGTTTGATTAATAGGTACGAAAGACAGTTACAGCTTTTTCAGATCAAAATTTCATGATTGACAAGATCAAACGCTTTTCTGAATTCAAGGAAAATAGCACCTTTCATTTTACCATTATCAATATCTTTGATTTAGGCATCAATTGATCTAAGTAATGCTGTATTGCAAGAATTGTTTTTCAAAACCCTGATTGTCTGTCATGTATAATTTTTGTATTTTGAAAAAAATGTCTGAAAACGTGACGCAATATGTCGTTCAAATATTTTTGAGATGGTTGGTTGAATTGAAATTCGGCGATAATTCACAGAAAAGTCTCTACTTCCTTATTTAAACAATTGCAAGACACAAGCTTCCTTAAGTTTATCAGGAAAAATACCAAAATGAATGCTATTATTTATAATAGATGTTATGAAAAAAATAATAGTATCCCCAGAGCTTTTTAAAATTGCGGGGCCAATACCATCAAGGCCTGTAGATTTATTTGTGTTCAATTTTGAAATAATTTGCTTTACTTCCATGGTCTTTATATAAGGAATAGTTATGTATCAATCTTTTATTTTAAAGTGGAAAAAATTGTTTTCAGAAAAAACTGGTTATGGTAATGATATTTGAAATATTGATCAAATATTCGTCTATCCAAAAACCCTAAATTTCTAAATCATTTTCAAAAACTCCATCATTTGTTGTTTTTTTTTATTTTAGACTGAAGTGTTTTTCGTTTAGTTTGATTGATGTTAAAAGCTTCTTTCAAGTTTTTCCATACATACTTTGAGTCCTTATTCTCTTCAGTGGCATTATTAAAGAAATATTTTTCTTAGCCTTTCTAATTAACTCAGTAACTTTGTTTCTTAAAATTTTGTACTGATCGAAATCTCCTTTATTATGGCACTTATTGCGCAAATTTATCGTTTTTTTTAAATTTCATCCGTAAACCAACTAGGTTGGTGCTCCCGTTTTACGCGTTTCGTTTGCGCATGTTTTGCTTATATTAAAACAGAGTAAAAGAAAGTTAAAGAGTTATTTGATTTTGTAATTATTTCAGTATTATCTATACCAGATGTTAAACGATCACGTTGAAAATTTTCTTCACAAAAAGTCAATCTTTATTTTATCACCTTTTGCAACCCATTTTTTGTCAGGTTTAGTTGAATAAACCATGCATAAATGATCAATCTTAGATAGAGATGAGACGAAAGTGTCCTTCATGTTCTAAGTATTATTTGCATATACATTGTATATGATTAATTATAGATGAATTTTTTTGTTGTTCTCGGCGGATGTATTATTAATTGTATTAAACCGATCTTAGTCATTGTGTTCTTCCATTTTGTGTTTCTAAATATATCGTTTCCTGTCCTGGTAAATAAGGGATATTTAAATCGTCCATTATAAAATATTCAATTAGTGAAGTATCGACCATTTCACATTGCTTTTCGTACAAATCAATCCAGGACTGAGGACGATAAATAAAATTTAAAAGGAAGAATTTGCAGTTTGGAACCAGATTGACTCAATATCATTTATTTCAAAGTCTTTTCGACGTTTATATGTAATATCTTTAGAAATGGAAGAAATGATTCCACCACCCTTCCTATTTGATCTATCTCGTCTCTCGCAGTTATTATTTCGTATGTAAACGTAATTATTATTAATATTATCATTTACGGATGTCTCACATAAGCCAATGCTCTTTGGTGATTTTGAATTGTTTAATATTTGTTCAATTTCATCTAACTTTGGTAATAAATGCTGTCTATTGAGATTAGCAATAAAAATGTCTGATTCCATCAAAAAGTAATAAGCTGTCAACTGCATTTTGTATTACTGTTGTTTAGTTGTTTTACATACGTGTGTGTGTTTACTTATTAATAAATTGTTTTTCAGATGCTTCTCAGAACGATTGCGCCCCTGATTAGTGAATTTAGTACATGGCGTTTCTAACAATAGCTCGGAATTATTTATAATATTTGATGTTTTATCTTTATAATTCATATTTTCATCTAAAACATTTGTTGTATATAAGAAGAGTTTGTGATATTGAAAGATCGATTTGCACAAAAGCATTTATCAAATACTATTTCGCATTTAATACATGTCCTATTTTAAATATTAAGTGAGATTTGAGTTTTCAAAATAGTTTCATTAGAACCGATAGATATATTAGTTTGAAAATCGCCATAAAGATCTTGTTTCAATATAGATTTATAAGTATTTACCTCATTATAAATACAGTTGTATGTTTCAAATTGTTGATTTTCAAAATTTCAGTTCCTGTCGGATATTTCCTAATTCCTATTTATTCTAACGCTATTCTGTCCATAATAATAATTTTCACTTCCGGGTCTTCTGTCGTTTGCAAATACACTTCAGGGTCTGGTGTGGCGAACAATATTATTAAGTGAAGTTTCACTCCAAGTTTGGTCATAGAACCTACGTCTAGAAAAGTTGTCAACCTTTTCATGTCTGTTTAAATTATATTGTCTGTATCTCGGACTGCCTGCACATAAGTTTTCTTTTCCATAGTATCTCGACCGCATTTCTCCATTAGCATGATTCCATTTCCTTTTTACGATGTATACGCACCGATTTTTTGCTGCTACGAGTGCCTTGGATCAATATATATTGTGATGTATCCCATATCTAGCTAAATAGTGATTCACTATTTTACCGTCTCCATAAACGAACGATGAATATGTGTCTATAAGTTCAGCACCTGTTTTAATACAGATGTCCCGCACAATTTGTTTTGTATAACGTAAAATCAGCGTCGAGCCGCGGCAAAATCGTGCAGAGATGCACTTTGCATTTGTGATGTTGAATAGAGCGAGCGAGTTCTTAGAGTTTTGCATGTGACGTATCAGGGCGTTTTTCTGAATTGACGTCATTTTCCCAACAAAAATAATGATGTGTTTGTATCGAAAGTGTTTTTATTTACAACATTTCAGCTACTGATTCTATTTAATAAAATTATTGTATGAAAGCTGCATCGCATTTATGTATAATTATAGGTAAATGTTTTGTGTTTGTTTAAATTATGATAATATGAGATTAACATGCAAAGCTGAGGACAATACTGAATTATTTTGAACGAGTACACATCTGTCAAACTATAATTGAAGAGGCGTAAGCCGAGTGTGACTTAGTGTGACTTAGGTTTTGCAGCTGTGTATGAGTCCAATACAATCAATACTTTTCTTAACAATGTATAATGATCCCTTCACGTCACCCCACCTTTTCTGATACGTTGACATAAAATATTTACTATAGTTACAACAATGGTTTGATTTGGAGTTTTTTTACTATAACAATGAAAACATGAGTAGAAAGGGGTTGATGTTGATTTGATGAACCTTTTGAACTCTGGAAATTGAAGAAAACAAGGCTATATGGGTGTTTGTTTTTTTGTGATAAATTTACATATATTTCATATAGAACAGAACGAATATGACAGCTATTTCATGTCCGTTTTTTGTGTTGACAAACACTTTATAGGTGTAGCAAAGGCACACTGAATATTAAGTTAATGAGTGCCACCGCGAGAGCTAAATACCGATGCACGAGTCGATGCATTTGGCCCTCTGTCTCAGTATGCCACACTCTTTTTCCTTAGAAGACGTCATTAGCAATAAATTACCGAAACCAAACTATTTTGCAAGTTTGTTAAACAGGCGAGACGACCAGATGACTGTAAATGTGTATTGTTTAGCCCTTATACATACTAAACACTCTAATACTCTGAAGTAAAGGGGACACTTTATAACAAACAACAACAACAACAACAAATTTTATTAGCAAATATCGAAAAAAATTTGCCTTTGGCTTATGAACAGAAAAAATACTTCAAATATTGATCATATATACAAACATATACATCAATTTTACATGAAGCTATATTTATCAACAAATATACATAATTATATATTCATAGTGATCAGAAAAAGTGTACAATTATAAGACATCATATCTAACAGTATATGCTTCTTTAAGATATTTACACATATTCAATACAGTTTTTTAACCCATCATACGGTTGAATAAATTAAGATTTGGCCACGAAATATGAGGCATGTATTTG